TAAAAAAATCCTGGTCCAAACGCAGGTATTCATTACCAACTCTCATTGTTTTTTAGCAAAATGATTGTCCCCGATCATTTTTTAAAATGTCTTAAAGGGTGGGGAAATAAATTTGAAAATGTCAAAAAAGAATGAAAATTAGGCTCTAAAACTTTAAGTGAAAAAAATGGGTGTAATTTGAGTATTAAAAGTAACCCGTTGAGTTTTAAAAAAAAATGGATTGCGCCATTAAATTCTACGCACATTAAAACCTAGGAAATAAACTTTAAAATATCAAAAAAACATAAAAAATAAGGTACATACATGTATGCAAACAATTAATTTAGAAATGAGTGGAAAAAAAAATTAATAATCAAAATTCATTTTTATGGAAAATGGTTTTTACCATTAAATTCTACACCTCTAAAGTGTAGGAAACAACTTTAAAAATTCAAAAAAACTCAAAAAATAACCCATAAAAAATTAATTACGAAACCGTGTTTAAACGCGGAAACCGCGTGCGCTGTGCCGCAGCAAAACCGCGTGTAAACGCGGAAAAACCGTGTTTTTTTATTAATGCCCTTTTTTTTTATTAAAAAAAAAAGGGAGTCGTCCGCCTAAAGGGCGAGAGTCGGCGCACCAATTACAACCAATATTTTAACCTTTTTTCTGCATTAAAAAAACGGGAGTCGTCCAACTCAAAACAGGAGTCGTCAACCTCTAGCGACCCTAAAAAATCAAAAAAAAGTTCAGCCACTGGGGCCCCGCCCCAAAGGCACTTTATCAATGATTAAAAATTAGATTCATTGAGAAAAACAAACTCAAGAAATAATTGAAATAAATTGATGAGATGTTGAGAAATGTAAACAAAAAAACAATGAGAAATGTAAGAAAAAAACAGGGATAAAAGAATTCAATTGATGAGAAATATAAGAAAAAAAACATGGTAAAAAAGGACAAAGAGGAAAAAAAATCAAAAACTAAAAAAGACACAGGATAAAAAAAACCCTAGTAGTGTTTCATTGGATTTTCAATTTTCCTCTCTACAGTCAATTGGAAACAATCAGAAAAGATGGCTTCCCATCCCCAAGCCTCTTCTGATGCCTTTTCTTTCCAACCCTTCATGAGCTGAGGGGCCGGAAAGAGTCTTGGGTTATGTAACTGCAAAGGGACAAAATGAGAAAATTCATATAGAAAAGCAATAAAAATTGGGGGGTTGGAATTGGGGGAGAAGAAAGAAGGGAGGCAGGTCTGGCAAAAGGTGGTAGAAAAAAAGAAAACAGGCCTCTCAAAGGCATTTGCCATTACCTCACCCATTGAAGGCATGGACATCCAATGAGCCTTTGGACAAGGTGCTGGTGAATCAACCATCATACAAGCCAAAGCCCCCTCAACTTTGTGGAACACTTTCCGATACCAATCAGGCCGACGGACAATTTTGTTATACATCTCGTATCGTACCGCCATATAATCTCCCTGCCCACGGCCCAACCCGTAAGCCACAGCCCGAAATCCGCAGTGACCATCTGATCAAACATCCACAACATCCCGGACTTCAGGTTGAATGATTTTTGGTAAATAATCAACGTAATTGAGATCGGACGGTGTGAGAACTCCTTTGGGATGGGTTGGCAGTCCTTGAGGGGGAAATAACAATATGATATTTCACTAGATAATATTTACTGTTACGGGTGGTTTGAAAGACCTGCCCCTCTATTTACTACACAAGAATTCTGACAACAATTTATTTTTATTGTTGTGGCGTAACTTGATGACAGAGAAAACTTTATATGTAGTAGTCTCTATCAGACCTAGATCAGTATGTAACACAATACAAGATGGTCGTACAACCTTGACACGGTGAGTGTGAGCGTGAAAACAATCCAAGTGGAATATTTTTAGGGTTGATGGTTTTTACGGTGATTCTGGATAAGTAGTGAAACTGCTGGTAGTTGTTGTTGTTGTTGTTGTTGGTGTTGGTGTTGACTAGACCTTTAGTGTTGAAGGTGTTTGCGTTGATGACCACTGAGCTAGCTGGGTACGGTGCTGGCTGGGTGATGATGATGACCACTGAGCTGGTTGTGAGGGGATGAACCGGCTGGGTGATGATGGGGGGAATTGGTGAAGGAGAGGCCTCCTTATATATTCTTTTCTGAGTTATTTTTGCTGGTGGTGATGCAGTTGAGGTGATTTTGCTGGTGGTGACCTTGTGGGTTGCACTGCCTCCTGCAAAGAGTACATGCATTGAGCCAATTATGCTGTGTAAATAACTAAATATGGTACTACTGTATGTAAGGATTGCATAACTGGTTGCACTGCCTGGTGGAGGTTTTTCTGTCCACATGCATTTATGCAAAGTCTGCGTAAATTCAATTAAGTAACTAAGTGGAGGCCTAATGGTTGCACATATGCATGCAAGAATTGCATAAATGGTCTGCACTACTGGTGGAGGCCTGCTGATGTAATAATTTATGTTTATGTACTTATATATATGTGGTAAAATACTATTAAATACTAATTAATGACTAGTTATGGTATGGCTTTAACCTTTATACTGGATTATCTTCTAAACTAATAGAGACAGAGGTATAGTTGTAGTGAGTGACTACTGCGGTAAAATTGTATGCAGATTCTGATTATGCAATAA